TGTTGAACATTGGCTATGTATCAATAAGACGAATACAATTACCAAACCCATCAAAATCGTCAAGAAAAGGCCTCGGGCTCGAAAAACCACCTCTCATTACGTATACAAGGCAACACACGCTGCCGCAATAACAAAATTCACTGGCACTCCCCGTTTGTTCCGCACAGATTTATCGTACACTAATTCAGAACAGAAGGAAGTAGTACTGGAGATTTAAAATTTCTATAAAAAAAGTACTGTGGTGCAATGGATACTGCCCGCGAGAGTAAAAACGACCATTAGAACAGCTTCTAAAGAGTTACTACCACCAGTGACGATCTTATGGCTCCGTAAACTGCTCAAAAAGCACCTTTTTGTCTCCCAAGAATCCATAGCATCGCCAAACAACAGCAACGCACCACAGCTGAACCGCAATTGCGACCAAATTCGAGAAGAACTGGCTACAAAAAAATCGGTATTGTGAATATTACTCATTTTTACGATATAAGAACTTGTTCTTGATATAAATGGCCAGCGCATTGACTGCCGGTGCCAAGATGCGTTTTTTGCATAATTCTCCGCAGATTTTTATCGCTAACGGTACCGGTTTTCTCGACAGATGCTTTTAGCTAAAAGAATTGAGAGGGGCCGTCAGGACTGTCAGGAAACATCTCCTTTAAAATTTAACTCTCTAGCTCTCCTGGTTTCCGTGTTCGCAACTTACTCGCAAAAAAACTTTCACAGGGCCGTACGTGAAAACCACGCATATCCGAGGCTGGGTTGGAACTCATTAACACCTATGTGGACGGGGAAAATACCCTTAAAATTACAATTTCCTAGCTTCTCAGGTTCCCGAGTTAACAGCTTCCTTCGCAAAAAACACGGGCAAGTACGTGGGTATCACGCAGCTAAGAATGCCTTTTTTTGGGATGGGAGCCCGTATGTGTATGCAGATTAAGTTACCAAAGTTCCAGTCCTGTAGCTTCTGTAGGTCTCGAGATGAAAAATCGGAATAGACGAAAACACACACACAACCCCTCGTCAATATGCGTTTTCTGAATTGCATCGATGCAAAAAGCGCATGAAAAACTATAAACCGTTCGATGTTTATGAGCAATGAAACTAACTTGTCGTCATGTAGAGGATGGGTGGACGGGCGTATGGACGCAATGAAGGCATGTCCGATCTGCAAAACATAACACAATTGAAAGGCCAAGATGAATGTACATGTAAATCGTGCTTCAGCAAAATACTTGATATATCACACTCATTCCCTTTCCCTCCCAATCCCGGCCGCTTACGTAACTGATACAAATTCCACCTCCCTTAAGTGTTGGAAAAGGGGAAAAAATAAAACAGGAGATTTAAAAAAACCTCTGCAAACTCGAAGAGAATTGAAGATGATACGGATAAAATGAACGGGAGCAAGAAGGAGCGACGTTCAGTGCGTAATCCGTAAACAAGCAGGAGGACGAAAAGCAGCTGCAATGCGGTCCCAAAAAGAAGTGACACTGAAATGTAAACTAATTTGGTCTCAAATTAAACAGAAAAACTGCAAAAACTGGTTCAGCGTCAACAAATAACACTCTGAGTTGAGGCAAATTCAAACACAATGCAAATGGCCGAAAAAAAATGGCAGTATTTTGAGATGAAAAGAAATCAGCCCTTACAGATGTATTTCTTGCTCAGCTGATTGATCCAGTGATCCGGCTCCAAACGTCCATTTAGTGCATAAAAATAAAGAAAAAAGACATCGTAGTATTCTGTTTCTTAAATTTTTTTACTTTTCATATTTTATATGTTGATCATTATTTCCCAAAGTAATACCAAGAAAAATAAGATTGCGCGGGCTATCAATTTGGGTATCCTTTGCCAGAAATGTTACTAGGATGTTTCCACACATCAAGCGTAGCTATGCCAGATCCTCCGATCTTGTGCTACACACTTCCAGTTAGTACCCATCGCCTGTTCTACTACGTATGCGCGTTATCTCTTCGGGGGTCGCGAGTAGTTACTTACTTTCTCCTGGGCATTTTCTAATACAGGTACGTTTGAGATAAATTTAGCAGAAGTATTTAGTCGTACGCAGTAGAGACAGCAACAGTGTTACGCATCGGCTGATGGTGACCCGATCCAACCCATTAGAATTAATGCAGAGATTTTCAAGCGTAATCAAAGTAGGTCCGTTTGTGATATCTGACAACGGCCGGACATATATTTCTGGATTATTTCACCCGGAATTCCTCCTCTCCTTCCCCGCCCCCAGTCAAAATAAATGTTCGTGCAGAAATCTTAAAATGATGATCGTTAAACCGCAAAAACTGATCGATTAGCTCCTTTTTATATGTTCCAGCAAGTGGCTTAAGGCAGACAATAGCCCGAGTTATGCTTCATGCGATTTTTGCGCGCAAAAAGAGAGGGAAAAAAAGCAATCGGAAAAAAACAAATGAATGCATGCGGTGGCTGTACCTGTACGTAGTAGAACATGAAGAAGAGCCAGAACACGAATGTGAGCACCATCTGCGCGTAGGCGAGGTAGAGTGTGGCCCGAGTGATGTGCAACGCGCGACAGCAGAACTTGTACTTATCCGCATTCTCGTCCCACAGACTGTCCAAGGGCTGATGCTGCTTGTCACCGGCCGCATCACCACGGCTCGCCCGCTCCGGACCAAAGATTCGGCTTTCTTTGCTCATCGCACACAAAACCTGCAAACAACCACCGCTCAACAATAAAAACAGCATAAACTGCGAGAGCGACGAGGAAGCAATGCGGAATGCTGGGTTTTCCCAACACACACACACTAAAAGTAAAGATTTGAAAGAGAAGGAAATACATAAGTAGGAAAAGGTAAAAGAAAAATTTTTGAGGGGCTGGAGAAAACGTTTCGGTTTATGAAGTCGTATACATTTCCTACCAAAGCCACAGCTCGATTTCGTCCGTACATCCGTACGACGGTTGTGGTAGGATAAACGGCTTTTATGAAGGCA